ATGGGAGAAATTTTGCTTTGAGGCAGTGTGTGCCCCCAAATAATGGGCTCAACTCATTCCCACTGCACACTGGAGCAGCCAATGGAAATCTCCAGGACGTTTGCACTACTCATCTTTAGTGGTTCCTGCACACCAGGCCAAAGCCAGATTAGCTGCACAGCATCCAAGGAGAGCAAAGGACACACTTCATTTTAAAGACATATATTTGAGTGCTGCACTTTTCTTTTGTTGAGTGCTCGTTTCTTTTGTTGTGTATGCTGTTCTGATCAAAGCTACATATGCACAGCTGCATAGCTATAACCACATTATGTGACTGTATAACATAGCACAGAGCTTCCTGCCATTTGCTCCCTTTCTCCCTTATTATCCTGTATTTGGCTTTCAGCCCCAAAACTCAGGCTGCAGTGGTGTATGATTCGGAGAGTCAGGTCTGAAAGCCTCTTCAGGAATGGGTAAATCCTACAGATTCAATCAACTTAATGTCAGTGTCTTTTCTTAGTGATCTGTATTGAAAGAAATAATCCTCACATTTTGCTGAGATGTGCCAGGATACTGAAGAAACTGGCAAGAATACTCTTTATCTGTTGTGGAATGATAATCTAGAAATATCCTGGATGCTACTTTGCAGAAGCAGTCTGCTTCTAAGATGATAGAATTAAAAAAGATGGAAAGAGTCTGAGGAACAGGAAGAAACGACGACACTTCTGCATAGTTTGCAGTTATTTTGCAACACAGGAATCCATTTCTAATTTATATATTATTAAAGGAGAAACTATTACAGAGGCCTATGTGGCCATAACAGCAGCTAGGAAGTCACTGATAATATCATACATGTAAGAAATGAAAACAAAAAAAAAACCCTATTAATTTAGCCTTATAGTTCTCTATACCTTTTTCAGGGTCCAATCCAGTTCTCTGGGTCATTTTCAGCATCAAGACTCTCGAGACATGTTCTAGATTATTTCAATTGAATTTTTTTTGTTATTAGAACTTCTGCCCATGTTTTCCAACTTATTTCCATATAAATAAAATCAGTTTTCTTAATGTCACCAATAAAAGCTGCTTAACTTCTTACTCCTTCCAGAGGTAAAGCTAGCCCAGTGCCAATAGCTGTGTACATGAAGCAGATTTCCAATAAGAAATGTCTGTTAGATATAATCCAAAGATGGCTTAGAAGACATTTCCTATAGCATCCAAATAAAAAGCCATTCATTTTTAACATTTCTTTATTTTTAGCTTTTTTTCGTGCCATAAAATTATATTTATGTAAGCCAGATCTTATTAAATATCTGAATAGAAGACAGTTGGCTGCTGAATTAATGCTCATTTAAAAAAAAAAATAAAAATAAAAATAAAAAAAATAAGAAAGATGAAGAAAATCATCTAAGGTAAGGTAGATGAGAAGAAAAATTTCTAAGTACAAAGCATATCCTTCTCTCACAAACATACTGAAGAAACATCATGAGCAATAAGAATCATGAATTAATTCACAAAGAATTAAATTCTTCTCTTGAAGATAGGAATTGAAATGCATGCAGTAAAAAAGACTTATAGCTCTTTGGCAAAATATAAGGAAAGATTTGACAGGAGCTCCACAAGTGAACTTGACCCAGTCGGTGCTCTGAAAGGCCCCATTTGTACAGCAATAACATCAGCATGGGAGGCACTAGAAAGCCACACCACTTTGGCATAGACAACATTCCTCCTCTTGTTTCCTAGCTTGCTTCTACTTAACTTCCAACTGTAGTTGCATTTGAGCACCCTGTTCCCTTGACTGTAGTTAACTACGAGGCTTTGAGTCTTTTATAACCTGTAAATGTCAAGTCACTGCTCATCTTATGTAGCCTTATATAAGATCTTCCCTGCATGCTAACCTTTGCAGTAAGATGTCTCAGCAGGATGCAAAAATGTCCAGCCACTCATTTCATACAATTGGACACAACCTCCCTTTAATTGCTACAACAGACACAAATTGTAGAGGCTTGCTGTGCTGTTAGAGTACAACCTGATAAACTAATGCTCTCAGGGCATTTAAAAAGGGGATACTTGTAACTTCCAACATTAAGGCACCTTGAGTACCACCCAACAATGCCATTCCACAGGATTCAGGTGGCCTTGCATCTGGTGCTGTAACAGATGCACAGAAACTAACACCCAAAAATGCCACAGAGGACACTGCTCCTCAGGGAAGTCTTTTAGCTCTACCATCACCCCTGCATGAACAGGGTGAAGGCCAGGCCACCTGGCATACCTCAGCCCAATGGGAAAGGACTTGGGGGTTCTGGTGGACAAAAAGCTTTACATGAGCCATCAGGGTGCACTTGAGAAGGCTAACTGTATCCTGGGCCACATCAAAAGAGGGGTGGCCAGCAGGGAGAGGGAGGGGATTGTTCCCCTCTGCTCTGCCCTTGTGAGGCCCCATCTGGAGAACTGCACCCAGGCCTGGGGCCCAAAATACAACAAGATTCTGGAGCTGTTGGACTGAGTCCAGAGGAGTGCCACAAAGATGATCTTTGGGCTAGAGCACTTCTCCTGCTAAGAAAAGTTGAGGGAACTGGGGTTCTTCAGTCCGGAGGAGAGAAGCTCCAGGGAGACCTCAGTGCAGTCTTCCAGTGCTTGTTATAAACAGCAGAGACTGACCTTTTACACAGACAGAAACAGGTGAAGTGGGAATGGCTTTAAACTAAAAGAGATTTAGATTACATGTTAGGAGGAAACTTTTCACTCAGTGCGGTGAGGCACTGGCACAGACGGCCCAGAGAAGCTCAAGGCCAGGTTTTCTCCCTTTGAAAAGGGAAAAAAATATGCCTAATGAATGCTGCTACAAGAATCTGAGAATTGCATTGGATAATTCTCTTAACTGGGAAGTGGAAATTCAAGTAAATTAAATGAAAACATCCATGGGAAACGGTCAAACATGCTGAATTCTAAGAGAAGGAAAGAAAGTTGTGGATCACTGAACAATTCACATCTTAGTGGAAGGCCATGACAACTTACAGGAAAAAAAGAATAAAAATCTGTGGCATTACAGAATTTGAACATTCAGCTTTCATATTCCCCTTTGGGGGAAAGGACTAAATAAAACTCACAGCAGTCGTCAGTTCTAGAGTTACTACTCAGCACTCAGGAAAGAAACTGTGAAGTCTTCTTGTGTACTTCCTTAACATATCAGCTCAGTGTTCAGCAGCAATCAAAACCAAAACAGGAATATCAGGAATTATTCAGATCACAGAGGGTACAAAATTATTTATTGTTCTATCTCCTCATAATGCTTACTGCATGCACATCTTAAATATTACGAGTACCTGTCCTCCCATTAAAAAAGAGCAACAAGGATGATTACAAATAAAGAACAGTTTCCAGGTAGAAAGTGATTTGTTAACACTGTTGTGTTAAAAATAAAAAGTGGCAGAATTAGCAAAATGAATGGGGAAGTGTTATTTTGGTGATGTGGCATTTTACAGTACAAAATCTACAGATCCTAAACAGTAAAAAATTGAGTATAAAACAACAAAAGAAACTTTTTACCTCTAAGCAAATCTCTGTGGAGATCAAGAACACAGATGAGTTTGAAAGCCACTAGGAAATGCATGGGGAATAAATTAACCAAGCTCTTAAACACACAGACAACTTGGATCAAGAAACTCCCAAACCATGGACAAGGTACAACAAGGTATCTGAAGGTAGATGTGGAGAACTGAAGGAATATCTCAGCAACAGAAGCCAATACCTAACTGAATAACTGAGCCTTTAATTGGTCCCATCAATACAATTTGCCAGGAAAACTGAGGAACAAATGACATGCCCTTCCAATTAGGTCAAACAAGACAACTCACGTGCAACAGGACAGGAATATAACATGGGAGATTTCATCTTTCCTATCCAGCAGCCCATGATTTCCATGCAAAGCTCTGTCTGTTTGGAATTCCCCAGCTCAGTAACTGCAGCTCAGTCTTGAATTGTATAAGAAATTTTGCTCTTGCCATTACACAACAAAACCCTAATCTAATCAAAGAAAGCACAAGGAATCTCCCTTTACCTTTAGTGCATTAGTGAGCAGGATTCCAACTTGATAAACACTCTATGAAACACATAAACGTGCGATCCAGTAAAGATCTAAGCAGAAATTGACTTTGAAAAAAAAAAAAAAAGAATCAGCAAAGCAACAGTGAGGCAAAGGCAGGTGTCTACAGCCGTAGCACTTGAGTGAGGCAGCTTTCAAATACAAAGGAAAACCACAGGAGACAAGGAAGTAGCAGAAGGCACCCACATATTTACTGTCCATATCAGGAGCTAACAAGAATAACAGAAAAACTTAAAAAAAATTTCTGGTAACAATGTTTAAATCTAACTTTTTAATATTGCTAAGGAGCTATCAGAGAGATGTTAGCAATGTTCATAATAATTAGCAGTCCAAATGACATCAGAAGATGTCATTATGATGTCATATCCTGAAACTCATTTAAACCTCTTCAAAAAATTCTTACAACTACTCTTAGGAATAAAAAAGAAGCATCCCAAATGTATGGAACTTTTGACACAAGGTTTTCATGAGCAAACCTGAAAAAAGATACCCAACAGCCTCACGCAGGATTGTATCATTTCCCCTCCAGGTTTGCCTAACCAAGTGTTTTAATTGAAACACATCCTGTCAAGGCAGTCCATAATCAGAAAAAGTGCAACTTTATTCACTAAGTATTCTTCCAACTACTCAACATACGCACGTACGTGTTTCATGACTCTGCCTTTCTCTGCAGATGGAGATGTACATTCCTCAGAGAAAGATGAGCTTTTCTAACATTCAGCACACTTCCAAAAGCCTCAAGAGTGCTTTGTCTCGATTTTTCTTTTAACCTACCACAGCAGCTAACACATACTGTGGAAACACAAGTACACATCTGGGGGAAATGAAAGGGAAAAAAACCTGAGAATCAACAGTAAGTCTTCTTACCGACGTACAGGATACAATTCAAAAGCAACCCACACAAGGCCTCAGTTATTTGTTTTGCAACTTTATTTCTTTATAAGTTACTGGTATAAAGTTTAATATCTAATAGTACAATAATTTGGGGACTTCAAAGGAAGCTTACTTGTCCTTTTTAGTGTCTTTTGCCATTTGCTCCTCAGATATGTTTCAAGAGGACTAGTAACATATGTACCTTAAAATTCTGTACAAAAACACTTCAAGCCTTTGTTTTTCTGAGTAGGATGCACAAAACATGCATATTGTTGACAATATAATGATTAAGGAATTATTTCCCTCCTTAAACTAAGGCAGTTAAAAAAAACAAACATGAATATTGAGTAATTTGGAAAAGTAAAAAGGCTTTCTCAATGCTCATTTACTCCTTGAGCAAACATGTTCATTAAGACACACTCTTGGAATTGTCATCAACGTGACGGCTGTCTGTACTGAAGAGACAGCGATTGTCAGAGACAGCTTTTAATTATGCGCATTTTTATCACTAATCCATCCTTTTGAACATGAACTTGTCAGCATTAAGCATTGTGTAAAACCACATGCAAAAATTGCCATAAGAATTTTAAATAGAACCAAATTGGCAAGTTTTTGGAAAGGATATCTGAATGTTAAAAAAAATATATTGTATATTAAAATGAGCACTTCAAGTAACTTAAATACTTTTAGCAAACATATCCAGCAAGAGACTCTGTAAAAGAAATTGTTCTTAGAACAAAAAGCTAATGAATGGCTATTTAGACACTAATTTTTCAACACAGTGGTAGGTCTGTGTGAAACAATTTGTAATCTAAATAAAGTGAGTCCATTACGCTGTTAAAAAAAAACATAGGAGAAGCAGGACCGATTAACTATTGCATTTCTCTATTTACAAAAGTGCTTAGCATAACAAAATTACCTAAAAAAATATAAACTTTACCGATATCATTTGGTTCTATGTGTACTCCTAGATCTGCACTTGGAGAAAAATAGTTATTTACATTGCTAGATTTAGACAAGTTTCCTATTATTTTTAAAGAAACCTAACAAAATTCCCCACACAAATGGACCCCTATGCAAGTCAATTCATTTGCTCTGGCTCATCATAAACAGAGCAGAAGTAGATCTTTAAATATTGAGTAGTACAAATGATTTTAGCCGTTGTCTGTGGCATCGGACCCCAATACGGGCTGCCGACAAATTGGGCAAGTGGAATTTTCAGAAAGCCAGCGATCTATACAATGAATATGAAACTCATGCATACAAGGTAACTGCCTTAGCTTATTTCCCGTTACATATTCATTAATGCAAACACTGCATGTTTTACTTATTTCCTCCTCAGCGTGGAGATCCCCATAATTCCGAGTAGAAAGATTGTCAATCTGCTCTTTGGTTAAACCTCTTAAACGCTCGTCTTCATCGTCTTCATTCAGCAGGAAGAAGTGGGCAAGCCGAAGGATGGGCAGAGTTCCATTTTCCACCAGGCTGTTAGCGTCTTGAGACTGTCTGTTATCCTGGTTCTCATTACTGCGACCATAGTGTTGTGTATCATCACTCCGTCTGTTTCTTTCACTGTCGTCTTCTACTGCGTGCCCATTCCGAGGAGAAACCTCACTGGGATCACTGCTATTGTTTACTGAGCTTGAGTTATTCTGCTCTGCCTGTACATCTGGTAAGTGATGAGCACCTCTTTGCATTTCTGAGTTAGATTCAGTTTCCATTAAAGAACTCAGTTCTCCAAAACCTGTCATAATTTGTCTAAGGATTGACCGAAGAGCCACTGATGAAGGCTCGCCAAGCCCAGTTTCTGAAATCCGACGCAGAGGGATCCGTATGGTGCTAACGTAGGTTCGAATACCCGCACGTTCTGAGCGCGATATCGTCCTCCGAAATCCTCCAGTGTCACTTTCAAAAGTAACTGTGTTTTCTGCCATTCCTACTCTAGAACGAGTTCTGCTAGCAATACTGTCCCGATCTCTGTTTTCTCCAGGACGAATTCTTCTCACTTGAAGATCTAGAGTAATTGTTGGATGCCTTCTAACAGCGGCTACTGGCCTACTAGATTCCTCCTCTTCTGAAGTTAATCCCGTGGATGGGGCTGCAGAGGAAGGCTGAGACGTTTGAGTGTTATTTCTTGCTTGCTCTTCAGCAGGCTGCTGAGGATGTTGTGCTGTTTGTCTTCTACCTCTACTAGCTTGCTGTGTACTTCTATTCTGCCTCTGCCCAAGTTCCCTAGAATAAGCAGTCTCACCTTGCCTCTGCAGTGGAGAGCGGCTTCGACTACTCAAAGTAGACCTCAACCGCAGAATTTCCAGTCTTTGGTTTGAATTCACCCGAACGTTAGCTCTAGATCTACTGCGTCTTGTGACTCTTGTAGAAGTACCTCTTTCTGGCATTTCTCTTTGTTCACCAGCAGTTGTAGAACTATGACGTGTAGTATTTGTTTGGTGAAGGCCAGTCAATTCCCTCGTTCTACTCCTGAGCCTCCCTGAGATTGGAAGAGAGGCTGCTTCAGAGCTTTGCACTACAGAGCTTCTTAAAGACCTGGTTCTTGCAGTGCTTGCAGCCTGGCTGTTCGCTTCTCTTGTCGTCCTGCTTCTTGTTCGTGTGGTTACTGGACTGACAGCTCTTTGATGTCTTCTTTCTAAATACATTCTGCTACGATCTATGCCCACATATTCTTCACCAGTGGTTTCAAAATTGTTATGCTCGTGATTTATGTTGATTTCAAGACTAAATCGAAATTCCCCACTGTTTGGATTTGTCCGACTCACAGCTCTCCAGGTTTGGTTCCCACTCTGTCCACTGCGAGTGGCATTTCCTGTGCGACGAAACGTGTTCAGCCATTCAAGCAAAGAATCACCATTTGAGTTTTCTGCAAGAACATCAGAATCTGAGAGAAATAAAAATTGCAAGCATCCATACAATTGCATTCTTAGCACACTATGATGCGTTCCAAATCCTCTATGCTTGCTTAGCTCTGACTTCCTAAGAGTTAAGGTAGCAGGACAGCTACCTCTCCCTGATAACGTAATTTTGCTGAAAATATGCTGTATGTAGAAACATCAACAAAACTGTTAAGCTTAAGCTGGAATTTTGATCTTACCAGCAGGTACAAATAAATTAATATATCTACACAGCCTTTTCTGAGAAAGCGCTCAGAGACAGCCCAAAAGTAGTTCAATTTGTCCAATATCCGTCTCTCACTTAAGCTATTGATTTCAGAGTAACTTTGTCAACTAATTTTGATAAAGTGAGAAAAGCTAAGACAGATGTTATCCTTTCAGAAAAGGAACTGGCCAAATGAGCCAATACTGGTGAGGAAGTGATGAGCATAAATAGTATCAACCTCACTGTTACAACAAACAGAAATAAGATAACAGAAACAAAACAGAAGAAAGGTTAACTGTTTACCAGTTGACTTCTTTTCTTCTCTAACTTCTCTAATGTATACTAAAACATCTTAAGAATTAAAATAATTTTTTTTGCGCTCCTAGACTCATTAACAAAAGGAAATCAGAAGAAGAGAAGAAACTTAGTGTCTCCCATTAAAATCTTTCATAAGAATTTATTTTAAGTTAATTTTATATCATTAGGAAATTTCTTACTTGAGAACATTTCAGAGGCAGAGTGAAAAAAAGACTTTTGATCAGCATTTCTCTTAAATATCTGTATGTACCATACATGCATATGAAGAAAGAATATTTACCTCCAGCAGTTCTACCTTCACCTTCTCTGTTTTCCAGATCAGACTGTGACGCCAGACGCTCCTTAGCCCCTTCCAAACGTTGCTGCAACTCTTCTGCTGTTATTTCCCCTGAAATAGTTTACATATCGATCGTGCTGTTATCGGCTCAACACAGCCATGCAGAAATAATATTTTCCATCTTGAAGAAAAAATCTTAAGAAAGGAGGTAAATTTAAATTTAAAAGCAAGGAGCATTAGGGTGAAATTGGAAGACAAGTAAGCAGATAACAAGAAGTAGTTACTAGGGAGGGGTGGATACTGAATGAGTATCAAGTGCGTGCTTACTTTAAACAAACAACCAGAAGCCCAAAGTACTGCCACAGATAGATACCATAGAATCATAGATTGGCTTGAGTTGGAAGGGACCCTGTAAGAAGCTGGAACAATTTCTGGCTCAAAGCTTGTTCAGCAGCACACATCCAGGGCATAATTTGCTGGACAAGCTTTTGGGGTTAATGGTTACCATAAGCACAGCAGCAAGAGAAACATATGCAACCAGGAGAAACCTTTTCAGCTGTTGCTTCTATTGGGCATTCAAGCTGACTTGTGGGGATCATCTCAGAGGAGAGGACCACCATGCAGTCAGTGTGCATACCTAGCAGCTCACTGTGAGACAATCACGTGATCTACTGCCCACTACCCAGCAGGAAGGGCAAGTACAGTGGACGTGCTGTTTCAACTACTGTCTCCCCTCACTAACAAAGCAGAAGCACCCATGGCAACTGCCGTTGCCCCAGCAAACCAAACAGAAGTGCTCCTGACAATCAGCTGCTGCCCCTGGCAACCAAAAGGACACTATGGAGAGGACAAAAACCAAAAGAGTTCCAAGGAAGAACGGGTACCACCTTGGCAGAACTGCAGCGCTGCAGCTCACACAGACGTCGCTGACTGACTTGCAGCTTCCCTATGGGCCAACAAGACGCCGCTGGATCCCTGGTGGTGACTGTTCCTGCTTTGTTAACCATTTGCTAGGATTTCTCTCTTTACTACTGCTAACTTCCCCATCTCATCTGCATTCCTTGTAGCACACCTCATTACCAGCCTCCTCCTGAACATAGAACCACTGACCACAACTGTCTGGCTACAGCCATCCAAGCAATTCCTTATACACTAAACAGTCCACCCTTCAAATCCAATTTAGAGATAAGGATGTGGAGGAGGATCATATCAAAGACCTTGCAGAAGTCCAGGTAGGTGACATCAGTTGCCAGATTACTTTAGCATTAATTATCTGGGTTTGAATACTACCAGTATTCAGATAACTTTTTTTTTTTTTTTCAAGCTTCAGCATCGATTTAAGTTAGCTTTTATTGACTATCATTAATTTTAAATAGAAATCCACATCTCTAGTAAATGTGGAGCCTGACAACAGCAGCGTTACCTCACAGTACAACTTTTCTGCTGAAGGTACCCACATCTTACCAGGAGTGCCAAGCAGGTTGTGGTCTCTCATCAACCTGTAGTCGTCTTCATTGAGTTCATTGATGAACTGGTAATAGGCTTCCTCCCTGCTGAGGCGCTCCAGCTGTCGCTGTCTCTCATCTTCACCATGACCATGCTCTCGTGAAGATGCCTGTTCATTGCCATTCCCTGCACGGTGCCGAGAGCGATCCATGATGCCAGGCTGCCTTATGCAAAATTGGAAGGTTAGACTGTACAATAATTATGGTAAGATTTTATCTAGTTTATGGTAAGACGTTCCCACCATTTTCATTTAAATTAGTTTATTAATAAATAGCTAAGGGTGATTAAGATGAACCAAACTCTATGTTATTTGCCAAGTCAGTTCACCAGTGTTGTTCATTGTACAAGTGTTTTGCTTTTAACTTGTACAAAAATAGCTCGAAGTCCCTTTTTTCTCCTGGAAAAGACGTTGCAGTTGGTACACCAACTTTAAAATACAATAGCAATGAAAGGTTTATTTTTTGCTGTGTAAGGACAGCATTGAAAATTAAAGGAATAACACGAATCACCTTTCCCCAGTGAAATAAAGCAGCAGTGTGTAGTACTTCAGAAGCTAAATATCACTGAAAACATTGTTCTGTAATTACCCAGCGTAGACTTCCAAAAAAACAGTTACTGCTTTGGAGAACTCTTGAAATGTTTACTGATAGGCACATGACAGCATTATCTCAGTCCATACCACCACTCCCACAGTACGAAGCCTACAGATACATTTTTGGTGGAAGTTATCCTTTTGACTTTCTGACACAAGTTTTACATCTTCCTTGCAATCTCTAGTCCAAGCTAACAAAAGAATGAATCTCCCTTTTCTTGGCCATACCTGTTTTTCAATACTCAGTTTTAAAGAAGAGAAAGCAGGGTGTCATCCTTTCAGTAGGGCTTCACATTTAACAAAAGCCATCTGTAATACTTGCTGTGGTAGACAACTGACAGAACAGATCACTTCTCTAATGAGATTACCAGGAATCGCCATGCAGCACTACTCTGTTTAATTGTGGAGAAGAAGTTATTGGATAAATACTTCTTTTTGAGGGGTCAATTCACCAACATGTCAATGCCTTCAAGTGTTAAATGGGGAAACACAGAACAGCATTCTCAGCACTCTCCCACTCGGTAATTAGTCTTCACAGAAAAGCTCACAAGCTGACAAGCAGACCAAATCAACATACATTCAATAAAGAGTAGATCTTAATCACTGCTGCCAACAGATATGAAGAGTCAGGAAATGTATTTGCCAACAGCAGACGCTGGCATACATTTAATATACCTTGCTTATGTTCTCTGTGGGATCCATTCTGATGCATCCTCGGTCTCCTCATTTTCCACCCCATCTGCTACTTTTCCCCCTTCACCACAGGTGACTGCACTTCCAAACATGCCAATCAATCTTGTCATTCAACTGCCTCCTGCATCAAATGCCGCATTTGGATGTATGTAATACTTCTCTTCTAGATGTTTAACTCATTTAACTTAAATTATATGAAATCTGAGTACCTCCCTCACAAGCCATTTTCTGTTCCCATAATGTTTGCATAGTCTGTTAATTTACTGTCACCTTCTGTGCTCAGCCTCACAATCTGCAGTTAAGTACTGACTTTTGTTTACCACAGTAGCTACGCCCAAATCAGGTCACTTCTCTTAACACATTTTAACACCAATTTCTCAGCCAGCTCTTCGTATCACTGCCCTGCCTTCCTCCAAACAAATGCAACTGTCCCCCCCTCTGCTCAAAACACGGTCAATAGCACTATCGCTATCCTGACAGCAGCAGCACTTGACTGCTGTCATGAAAATGCTTAATCCATGCTGCAGTAAGTACTAAAGAAAATGCCTCCGCCCCCAGCTGACTTAATACTTGAGGTAAGCAGCACACAGAAGACAACAAATAAAGTTTATTTAGTTTCACGTAAGGCTGCTGTTGAGATGAAAACCTAACAGTAAATGTTAGTGCCCGCCCTATAACTATGCTACGTTAACTGATTTCCTGGCTATATCACCATACTGCTGCAGAGAAACTCACACACAGATTCTTGAGATGAGAAGCCCATTGCACGTAGTCTCCTTCAACCTAAATTTAAACTGTTGTGTGAAAGAAGGATTCTTTGCTTTTCCTACTGCATTCATGCAAAATCTGGAATTCTACCACAAAAATACTGTTTTGTTGACAATGGGACAGTAGGGCAATTACTCACCCTCCTTAAGTGACTCACTTAGAAACCATAAGAAATGAGAAGCCTTTAGCTGTCCCATCTGTTTAACACAACTGCAAGGATGACAGCTACTAGCCATATTTGTTATCAAACACTACCAAAATGAAATACTTCGGCCCTTAAAATATTTCAAGGCGTTGAAAGCTGCAGGATTTTAACTACTAAGAAACAAAAATGTAAAATCCATTTACAGCTCTGGGTTACATTTCCGTTGCAAAGAAACAAGTGCCACAAGCCAGCAGCTTGTCCACATTTTCCAGCCCAAGACAAACTCCTTTCCTTCTTAGTTCACACCTATTCTGGCCCTTTCTCTAATATTTACGATCGTTTCTTCCTAAGCTGCATACACCGTGCGCTTTTAAGCTCTGGCCCCTCTCCACGCCTCCCTCCCCCGCAGGCCACGAGGTATGCGTTTTCCGATCGCCTACCACCTGACTGCAAGACGACAACTGAGTTTAGATGAGGAAACCTCGCGGAAAACGAGACCACTTAGGATTTCCGTCACATCTCAGCCTCCGGGCGAGATGATCTCACCGAACTTGAAAGAAAAAAAAAAAAAAAGAGGGAGAGAAACCACCAGACTCTGCGTGAGGAAGGGAGGGGGAAGCAGAGGCAGACAAAGGAAGCGCGGCACGGCGACGAGAGCCCCGCGGCCTCCCCCGCTCCCACGGCAGCGCGGCCCCGCGCCGCTCTCTGCGGCCCGGGCGCTGCGGGAGGCGCGGAGCCGCGCACCCCCCCCGGCCGGCCGGCCGACCCCGTTCCACAGCCCGCCGCCGGGCCGGGGCAGGCCGGGGGCAGCGATCGACACCTCTCCCGGCCAACCGCCCGCCCGGCCGCCGGCCGACCGCGACGCGGCGAGGTAGGCCGCGTCCGCGCCCCTTCCCCCCCCCCGGCTCTCCTCACGCTCCCCGGCCGGGCCCCGCACTAACCGCCACCGGCCGGATCGCCGCCTCCAGCGCCGCCCGCGCACCCGGCCGCCCCGCCCGCCGGGGAGCGGCATCACCCGCGGCGCGGAGCCGGGGAGGCGTCCGTGCCGCCGACCGCCGCGGTGCGGGCCGCCCGGAGAGGGGCCGGGAAGACCCGGGAGCCCGGCCCCGCCTGCCGCCCGCGGGACGGCCCGGCTCCCGGCCCCGCTCCGCTCTCCCCTTCCCTCCCGGCGGCGGGAGCGGAAAGACACCGACCCCTGAGCCGTGCGAGCGGGCGTCCCGGCCCCGATTGCGGTCCGGGCGGCCGCCGGGAGCCGCGAGCGCGAGTTCCGAGCGCGGCCCTCCGCCGAGCACCGCCCCCTCCCGCACATGCGCAGCCGCGGCGCGAGCGACCGTTGGGTCGCGCGCCGGACAAAGGCCGACGGCCGGGGCGCGCGCCAGGCGGCGGCCGCGCGCCAAGAAGTGCGGCGGCGCGCGGCCATTGTCGGCTCGGAGCCGTTACCGGTCTGCGGGGCGGCCGCGGCCGATCGGGGGCCAGGAGCTCGGGGAAAAAACGCCTCGCGTTCGCCCGGCTGTCCGCGGGCAGCCCGTGAGCTCCCTGCACGGCCCCGCGCCGCCTCTTTGTACGCGTCCGCACAAACGCTGATCTCCACGCTCCTAACTGCCGTCCTCGACACGTTCTCTCCCGTTAAACGCAGAAGGAAGTCTGCTCGGGTGTTGGCGTTTCGTTAGCCAGCCCGCTGTGGGTCACAACTCGCATCGCTGTCTCCAGGCGGGTGTGAGCCCTGACTGAGGGCGGATAGACTTTCACAGGCAGGATTTCGCCATGCATCCCTTCTTGGCACCGGAATATCCTCTCCGTTCCGGTAATCACTGCTGCACGTTGGCAAACCAGCGTAGGACTGCAGCTTCAGCTGCTCCTGGTGCTCCATATCTTATTCTTTACAAGAGCTGGCTTTTTTCCTGCTCTTCCCTTCCCGGGTTTGCTTTTTTGGATAGGATGATTGTATTTTCCATGTGACTCTGTGCCTTTCCTTTCTGCCTTTCTATTTCCTTCGCTTTTCTGCCATTGTCTCCCTTCACCTTTTCCATTTTCCGAAGAGAGCCTCCAAGAGCTCAGTTGCCGTTGCAGAAGCTGTGACTTCAGTCACTTTGTAGCATATAACTTTGCACACAAGCTCCAAATGCTATTACAAAGTTGTCGTGCACACTGCTGCTATGCTAACAACGTGCACAGGCTTTCTTTCCTATGCTGCTTCCATTGGTAGCTTCTATGCTAATCCAAGGGATGGAACACCTCCCTAGAGGACAGGCTGAGAACTGGGGCTGTTCAGCCTGGAGAAGAGGAAGCTATGGGGAGACCTGAGAGCGGCCTTTCAGTGTGTGAAGGGGGACTGTAAGAAAGAAGAGGTCAGAATCTCTGTGATTCTGTGATTCTGTGATCTCTAGCAGGGCGTGTTGCGATAGGACAAGGGGAAACAGTTTCAAACTACAAGAGATTTAGACTGGATGTAAGGAAGAGGTTTTTTTACAATAAGCATGATGCGCTGGCCCAGGTTGCCCAAAGAGGGGGTAGGTGCCCCATCACTGCGCAGGATCACAGTGGATGGGGGTCTGAGCAACCCAATGGATCTGTAGGTAACCCTGCTCACTGCAGGACAGTTGGACTAGATGGCCTTTAAGGGCTCCTTTCAACTCAAACGATTCTGTGATTCTACACAGGGCAGAAGCTGATGGGCTGTGACAGATGGAGCATTCCACACCTTGTATAAACTATTTGAATCAGCAGAACGGGAGACCTCAGTAAAATCACCTCATTCCTAGGATATCCAATTTGCTGATACTTCTGCTCAAATTTCCTCAGAGAAATAAAATATGGATATCCTGCAGTTGGTCTTGATGCAAAAACAAGTCCTCATGAATAAGGGAGGTGATAGGAAGGGCTGAGGGCAGTGTCCAGGAAGACACTTCTATTCCCTTCTTTACATACTGCACAATTTGTTTATACTTTTTGAGAAAGAAGTGTAAGGAAGAGTTACATTTAGGTTTCTTACTAGTTTATACTGGGGTTTTTTGTTTGTTTGTTTGTTTGTTTTGTGGGTTTTTTGTTTGTTTGTTTGTTTTTGCCAGTTCATGCTATCGATGTAGGGATGCAACAGGAAGGACATTTTTAGCACCGAGGCTATTCTGATGCTCAAGGCTACTCTTTTCTACTAGGTTTATTCAAGGGTTCAACCCTTGTTATGTTTCTCATCACACCATGAATGTTAGTGATTGCTTAAGTGTGCTTTGGCTTCCTTTGCCTGATATAACTAAAATATGTGTTTCCTGAAGACAGATTTCACTCTTGTAATAGGAGTCTGAGTATCTGCCTTGCATACAAAGTAATGCCCTGCTCCCTTGACAATTTCTTCATGGTTTCCTGTTGTCCTCTTCTGGCAGTCCTTTTCTCTCACACTCTGATGTTTAGTAATCACAGTCAAACTCAGCATCTTCTCTGGTATCAAGGCACACATGAGCTGCTCATCCAGAATAAGGTTATGCTATGTTTTGGGAAGATAGATAAATAAATCCATGTTTCTTTACTCAAAGCTTAGACTGAAACAGTCCTTTTTCTACGGTGCACAATTCTCTGTTCATTTCCTATTCATATTTATATTTCACAGAAGTGCAGTGTAAGTATTTGATTATTTTATGCTTTTTATGTTTATTTGATGCTCTTATTTGTGTTGTTGATACCGAAATAACAATAGTAAATCTTTCCTCTAACATTATTATTGTTGCAGCAGCAACTTTCCCACACATAAAATGCCTCTTTTAGGACGATAATAGAAGTAGCCTGTAGAGGGCAGCAAACCTCAGGAAACTGGTTTTAAGTTTCGTAAAGTAAGCTCTATAAACCTGGTTTCATTCAATTGTTCAGTCATTTAATTTCTTTAGAAAGTAACTTTATGCTATTATGTGTCGGGTTTTTTTTATATATAATCATGTTTTATATACAGCCAGGAGTGCACCCCTGCAGCAAGGAAAGCTAATGACACACATGTTGTTGGGAAGTGGTTTCCTCTTACTTGGTGCTTGATTGCCGTCACATGGAATACCGTGCTACCATGCTATGTCTGGGGGGTCTTCAGCAGAACAATATTCATACAGAAAATTATTGACAAACTGGAAGGAATTCAGCAGAGAGCACCAAGATGCACGGGCTGCACGCTTCTATGTGAGGCTGTGGGCACCTGGGCTTGTTCAGCTGGGAGAAGGGGCAGCCTGCCAGCACTCACAAGGAAGTTGCTGAGAAGACAGAGCCAAACTTTTTAGCCAAGTGCACAGTGGGAGGGCAGATGGTAGCCATGAATTTGATAGACGTTCGGCATCAAAATAAGGACAAGTGTTTTTATCCTGAGGACAGTCAAGAGGCTGTGGAATCTCCCTCAGTTTTTTTCTCAAGCAGCCTGAATTTAATAGCAATCCTGCTTTAAGCAGGATATTAAACTAACAAACCTCTTAAGGTCTCTTGCTATGATTCTTGCTGTTGAAATAACATATATCTCTAACATAGTTGTCAGTATTAGAGTTTATTTCCCTACGGAAGGGCTCTAAAAAAGTAGACATGTTTGTTCCTAGGCAGAATTTTGAAGTCAAGACTCTTGAGGACCAACACTCTGGCTTCTTCAGGGGCATAAAACAATCAGACAGATAGTGATGATGGTCATGTGTCTGGCAAACAGATGTTCTGCTAACACAGCTCTCTGGATCTGGATCCAAACTACGGGTGTATGTTTGTTGATGATTTGCACTCATGCCAGAATCTAAGACACCTTGTTAAGTGCATCACTGGTCTGATCAACTTTATAGCAAAGGGCAGCTGAGCACACAATAAAGAGTACTTAACTTTATATATCAATTTGTGGGAGTAGCACTTCAGCTTCTTAAATGCTGTCAGTATTCAGCTAACATAGCTGCATGTTATCAACTGCAAGGTTCCTAGGAAATGCTCACACTATGCAAGTATAATGGATTTTCTTTACACACAGGAAAGTTAAAAGAAGAGACCACAAACACCACATCATTCATTTGCATTCAGCTTTCACTGCTCTAAGCAGAAGATGTACAGGGTTTAGCAGGATTGGCTCTTTTTCACTCAGTACCAACCTGGGAACACCTAAGCTACAGAATATCACTCTGGGGAAATAAAGAAAAAAATTAGCCATTTCAGAGTGGCTATTCTGAAATGAAAAAGTCTCCAAATAGCCAAAATTTGTTCAAATTTGGCAAACTGGTAAATGGAGCAAGTGGATATTATGGTGACATGGGGATGTGTCGTGGTAACTATCTCCAACCCTCTGCACGTGATCAATGCTAACATGGCAGTGGTTGCTTTTCTGTGGAGATCTCTGATTTTCTTTAAAGGTGTGGCTGTAAAGAAAAAAATGTCTAAACTATGTGTGTGCTGGAAACATTAGAAACAACACAAGCTTGGGACAAGACATTGTAACACAAGCCAGAAATGCTAGGGAAAAAAAATTGAATAAAGTAGATGTTAAGAGTTGTTAAGAATATATTTTAAAATTGACTTCTGAGACAGCATGAAAGGAAAAAAGGCAAAAGAATAAGAAATAAGAAATGTTATCAATTTAAAGAGCCACTGTGGTACTTCAGGAAGAGCAGATCTCTGGCCATCTCTTTCTTTTTAAG